TATGTCTTCCAATCTGTTCCACTGATCCTCAGATCTGTTTCTTTGCCAGTACCATGCTGTTTTTATCACAGTGGCTTTGTGGTATAGTTTCAAATTGGGAATTGTTATACCTGCTGCCATGTGTCTGTTGCCTAGGATGGCTTTTCCTATTCTAAGTCTCTTATTGTTCCAAATGAATTTTTGGATTCTTTTTTCTAGTTCTGTGAAATATAGTGTTGGAATTTCAATTGGCATTGCATTGAATCTGTATAGCAGTTTTGGTAGTATGGTCATTTTCACTATGTTGATTCTTCCTACCCAGGAGAAGGGGATATTACTCCATTTTCTTGCATCCTCTTCAATCTCTTTTTTTCAGAGTGCTCGAGTTTTCAGTGTAGAAGTTTTTTGCTTCATTTGCTAGACTGATTCCTAGATACTTCATTTTTTTGAATGCTATAGTGAAAGGAATTGTTTCCCTAATTTCTCTCTCCCTGAGTCTATTTGTGTACAAGAAGGCTATTGATTTTTGGGTGCTGACCTTTTATCCTGCTACTCTGCTAAAAGTGTCAATTAAGACTAGAAGTCTTTTCATAGAGTTTTTTGTGTCTTCAATGTAGACCTATATCATCAGAAAATAATGACAGTTTCACTTCTTCCTTTCCTATCTTTGTTGCTTTAATTTCTTTCTCTTGTCTAATTGCTAGGACTAATGTTTCCAGGACTATATCAAAGAGGAGTGGTGATAGTGGGCATGCTTGTCTTGTTCCTGATTTTAACATGAAGATTTTCAGTGTTTGGCCATTTAATATGATGTTGGCTGTTGGTTTTTCATAGATAGCCTTTATTAAGTTGAGCTATAGACCATCTATTCCAATTTTTTGCAGGGTTTTTTTATATCATCAATGGGTATTGAATTTTGTCAAATTTGTTTTCTGCATCTATCAAGAGGATCCTATGGTTTTTGTGCTTGACTCTATTAATATAGTGTATTACATTTATTGACTTTCATATGTTGAACCACCTTGTATCCCTGGAATAAATCCAACTTGGTCAGTATGTATGATCTTCTTGATGATCCTCTATATTCTGTTTGCTAGTATCTTATTAAGGATTTTTGCATCTATATTCATTAAGGAGATTGGCCTATAGTACTCTTTTTTAGTTGCATCTTCCCCTGGTTTGGGAATCAAAGTGATACTTGCTTCCAGGAATGAATTTGGAAGTATTGCTTCCCTTTAAATTTCACTGAAAAGTTTGAAGAGTAATGACAGTAGTTCTTCTCTATATGTCTTGTAAAATTCAGCAGTGAATCCATCAGGGCGTCAGCTTTTCTTTGTTGGTAAATATTTAATTACATTTTCTATTTCAATGATTGTAATTGGGGTGTTTAAAATATTTTTATCTTCTTTGTTCAACTTTGGTAATTCATAAGTATCTAGAAATCTGTCCATTTGTTGTTTTCCATTTTGTTAGAGTACAGATTCTCAAAGTAGGTATTGACTATCCTCTGGATTTCTGTTGGATCTGTTGCGACTTCACCTTTTCATTCCTAATTGCATGGATCTGAGCCATTTCTTTCCTTTTTTTGTTAAGGTTAGCTAAGGGTTTATTGATTTTATTTATTCTTTCAAAAAACCAGCTCTTTGATTCATTGATTTTTTTGTATCATTTTCTTAGTTTCTATTGCATTGATTCCTGCTCTAATCTCTATAATTTCCTCTCTTGTTAAAGCTTCAGGTTTTTCTTGCTCTTGTTTTTCCAGGAGTCTAAGATTCATCATTAGGTTGTTTATTTGAGTTTGCTCTGTTTTCCTAATGTGGGCATTCAGTGCTATGAATTTTCCACATAGAACTGCTTTCACTGTGCCCCATAGATTCCTATATGTTGTATTTGCATTTTCGCTTATTTGTAAAAACTGTCGTATTTCTTCTTTAATTTCCTCTGTTACCCATCTATTGTTCAGGAGAGTGTTGTTCAATTTCCATGTGTTTGTGAAGTTCCTACAGTTTCTTGAGCTATTGATCTACAGGTTGATTGCACTATGATCTGATAATACACAGGGAATAACTTTGATTCTTTTGCATTTATTCAAACCTGTTCTGTGAGCTAGTATGTAGTCTATCTTGGAGAATGACCCATGTGCAGCTGAAAAGAATGTATATTCTGATTTTGTGGGGTGGAACACTCTATAGACGTCTACTAAGTCCATGCATTGAAAAGCTTGGTTCAGTTCTAGTATTTCATTGTTAATTTTTTGCCTAGATGATCTATTTGTGAAAGTGAGGTATTTAGATCCCCTACTACAATTGTATTAGTGCTTGTTTGGTTTTTCACGTTACTTAATATTTGTTTTATGTAGTTGGGGGCATTAATACTTGGTGCATATATAGTTATGATTGTCATCTCTTCCTCTTGATTTGTTCCCTTTACAAGGATATAGTGGCCTTCTTTGTCTCTCTTAATCAGTTTTGGTTTGAAATTTGCTTTGTATGCAAATAAGATTGCTACCCCTGCTTTTTTCTGCACTCCTGTTGCATGGAGAATTGTTTTCCATCCTTTCACTTTCAGGCTATGGGCTTCCTTTTGCACTAGGTGTGTTTCTTGTATACAACATATTATTGGATTTTGCTTCTTAATCCATTCTGCCAGTCTATTTCTCTTGATTGGTGAATTGAGGCCATTGACACTGATGGCTTATAACTGATATGTACTGACTTGTTATTGTCATGTTATTGACCTTTTGTTGACTCTTTTTACTTTTCCCCCCTCTCCTTTTAGTTTCTTGCCTTGTCTATTTGACTTGGTCTGTTAGGTCTCATGATATTGTGATTTTCATTGTCTTTTTCTAGGATATCATTTAGAATTCATTGCAATGCTGGTTTGGTGTTCATGAAGTTTCTCAGGTGTTCTTTGTCATGAAAGTATCTTATTTCCCCATTCATTTTGAAAGAGAGTTTTGCAGGATACATTAGTCTAGGTTGGAGTTTGTTTTCTTTTAGGACTTGAAATACCTCACTCCAGGCTCTCCTTGACCTGAGCTTTTGATTTGAAAAGTGTGTTGTGATTCTGATGGGGTTTCCTTTGCATGTGATTTATTTCTTTTCTCTAACTCCTTATAGTATTTTGTTCTTCTGTTGCGTGTCTGGGATCTTGATTATTATATGTTTAGGTTTAGATTTTTTAAATTGTGGCCAGTTGGAGTCCTATATGCCTCACTTATCTGGATGTCTAATTCTTCCCTTCTGTTTGGGAAATTTTCTGTCATTAATTCTGTAGACAGCTTTTTAAAGTCATTTGTATTTTCTCCTGCTACTTCATGGATTCCTATCAGTCTTATGTTATTTTTCTTTGTATCATCTAGGACTTGTTGGATCAATTTCTTATAATCCCTTACTGTTTTTAAGAGACATCTCTTTTCATGGTTACTGACTGCAATCTTATCTTCTATATCTTTGCATTCTTTTATTCTGTTGCATATACTTTCAACACTTTTTAATCTCCTGGATATCTGTTTGAATCTGTTTTATGGATTCCATTTCTTTCCTCTTTTGGGCATTCATTGTTTCCATTTCTTTCTTATGCTGGGCCTTCATGGCTTCCATCATCGTCCTGAGCTCATCTATTTTTTTTCTCAGTTTCTGTTCTAGAATCTCTAATCATGACTTTCATTTTGCTCACCATCTCTATGGTTATCTGAGAAATTGTTTCTGTTTTGAATTTTTCTAGAGCCTGATTGATATGTTTTGTTACTTCCTGTGCTATGGGTTCAGGGTGTCCTGCTGGTTCACCATCAGACTTTTCATCCTCATTTGCCCTACTGTTTGCCATTGGTGAACTGGAAGTCTGTCTTTGTGTCTTGCTTAAGTGTTTTCTCATTTTTATTTTTGTTGTTAGGTTGTGCTTGGTTTAATTTCTGGGTTATTACTTAAATCATCCTGATATAGTTGCACTTTAGTTTTTGAGTCTGTAATGACTCATAGACATTCTCATTTTCATAATATCAGAGAAAACAACTCATTAAATCAATCAGAATCCTTTATCCCATTTGATACAATCAGCAGCACAATAGGATCAAGTATAACTTGAAAATTGACCACTTGTGGTAGTCACCAATCTATCATCTTTAAACCATGTGAATTAAATTAAAATCAAGAAGCGGCCCAAAATATGTTTGCAGTGAATATGCCTTTCAATATAGCATCTTTATCATTTAGGATGGGGGCTTAGACAGTTAGGATGAGAGAAGTAGACAAGTGAAAGAATTGGAGAAGGTTTCAAGTGAAGCTAGAGGACATAGAATGACCACACAATCTTTATGAAACTATTAAATTGAAAAGGGATAGACAGAGTGCAAGAATAAGGACAAGAATATATTCCCTTAACAGTAATAGGGTCTCACTTTCCCTTGAAACTATTGGCCCATGAGTGAGGTAAAATGACAGAAAAAAAGATCATAAAGAAAAAAGAAAAAATGATAGAATAAGAAGTCTGAGTTAGGACAGGAGCAGGAACAGAAAGGGAGATAAAGGATAATATGGTGGAGCAAGAGATTGAGTTGGAGAAAGGACAGAAAATAGAATTTGCAGAGTGGAATGAGAAAAAGAAAGAAAAAATGAATTTGAAGGGCCTCTTTCAGACTATATCTCTGCTGTCATAATGTACCACATGCATAGCCATGTGCAGAACGAAGTCCCCTGATCTCAGCTAGTCAATGGCAGACTGACCTCAGGCTGCAAGGCCCAGATTGAGTTTCCAGACCTGCAGGGTTGAACTTCACACAGTTCTATAACAGGTTTCCCCTGCTCTTTCTTTAAAGATGTTCAAAGTTGGGAGCTCAGAAAAAGACCCTTTATGACCACCTATGCCTCTGCAGAGTGGGTCCAAGGACTGGCCCAATCAGGAGGTCTGAGAGTGGGGGGGGCTTCAGGGGCACCCGTGTGGCTACCTTCCTTGCTGGTGCTGTTGGCAGAGAAGGCAGGGGAGGGTGCAGCTACCTGGTCCCACTGAATGGGCTCAAGCGGGCTGAAGGGAGCGCAGATCTCAGAGCAGCCTTCCAAATCTTGCCTTCCTTGCTCGGGCTGGTGGCATGCAGGCAGAGGGAAGCACAGCTGCCTGGTCCCACCAAATGGCTTTTAAAGGTAGCAATCCAAGAGGAAGAGATGACAATCATAAATATATATGCAACAAATGCTAGTGCACCCAAGTATATAAACCAAATACTAAGACATGAAAAATAAAATAAACACTAATAAAATATCAATGGGAGACTGCAATACCTCACTGTCACAAATAAGTTAACTAGACAAACAAACAAAAAAATAAATTTAAAAAAATAATAAAATGCTTTAGCAGTTCCTGCTCATAACATCTCAGTTGGCATCCTCGCACCTGTCTCCAGCTTGTGTGTACTTACCCAAAAACCATTCTTCAGCAAGGTTATGGCCAGGACCAGCCAACTTTCCCTTCTAAACATTTTACCACTTCCATCTACAAATTCCAACAGTTATAACTTCAAGCTCTGAAATATGAGGATGAATGTATTGTTCATTATTTCTGAAAATATAAATATTGATGCTTCTTAAGTTCTACATTACATGTGTTATGTGTAAAAATGTATAAGTGTTGTTAAGAATTAAGCTTTGGGTAAATGATAATGCTTACCCTTGATTTTTCTCTACTATGCTTCCCACATTCTTATGAATATTTGCAAATTAGAGATGTCCTATTTTGTTGAAGTTTCTTTATATTATTCTGATCCTTTATTACAAAGGAGAGGAGATTTTCTGTTTATATTACAATTGTTGGTTTTCCAAATAAATTTCCACCTGCAAATCTGAAAAACAACACCAGCAACAATGAAATGCCAGAACTTAGCAAAACTCCTGTACAAATTAATTTAGCAGATGTTTACGGAACATACATTCTTTTCAGCTGTACATGGGTCATTCTCCAAAATAGACTTGTTCATAGAATGTGTTCAGTAAATGCAGAGGAATTGAAGTTATCCCCCATATATTATCAGGTCATAGTGCAATGAAATTGGAGTTCCATAGCCAAATAAACCACAAGAATTTTAAAAACACATGGATATTGAACAAAGCACTTCTGAAAAACCAATGGGTCAGAGAGAAAGTTAAAGAAGAAATCTGACAGGTTCTACAATGAAAGCAGTCTTATGAGAGAAATTGATATCAGTGAATATTCATGTTAGGAAAACAGAGTGAGCTTAAATAAACAACCTTATGCTTCTAGAAAAGGAAGAGCAGGACAAATCCAAAGGTTATACAAGGAAGGAAATTATAAAGATCAGAACAGAAATCAATGAAATGAAGATAATGATACAAAAAATGAAGGAAGCAAGGAGTTGCTTCTTTAAAAGAATACAGAAAACTGATAAACCCTTAGCCAACTTTATCAAAATAAGAGAAATAAAGGTCCAAATGCATGCAATTTGCAATGAAATGAGTGAAATTACAATGGACTCAGCAAAAATCCAGATCATCAATACCTACTTTGAGAACCTATATGCCAATAAGATGTGAAACATAGAAGAAATGGACAGATTTCTAGATACATATGAATTACCACAATTGAACAAAGGAGATGTAAAAATGCTAAACAACATAAAATCAATAATTGAAATTGAAAAGGTAATTAAAAACTTACCAACAAATAAAAGCTCAGGACCTGCCGGCTTCACTGGTGAAGTGTACAAGACATTTAGAGAACTATTGCCACTACTGTTTAAACTTTTCAATGAAAGTGAAAGGAAATCATACTTCTAAATTCTTTCCACAAAACAAGCATCACTATGATCCTAAAAACAGAGAAAGACCAAACCAAAAAAGAGAACTATAAGCCAATCTCCCTATTTAACATGGATACAAAAATCCTCAATAAGATACTGGCAAACAGAATGCAGAAGATCATCAAGGAGATCATACACCCTGACCAAGTGAAGTGGACTCTAGGGATGCAGGGATAGTTAAACATATGAAATCAATAAATGTCATATAGTATATTAATAGAGCCAAGGACAAAAACCATATGACCATCTTAATAGATACAGAAAAAGTATTTGACAAAATCCAACACCCATTTGTGGTAAAAATCCTACATAAAATTGGAATAGATAGTCTCTATCTCAACTTGATAAAAGCCATCTATGAAAAACCAGTAGCCAACAACATACTAAATGGTCAAACTCTTAAATCCTTCACAGTAAAATCAGGAAAAAGACAAGGGTGTCCGCTATCACCACTCCTGTTCAATATAATTTTAGAACCATTAGTTACAGCAATTAGACAAAAGAAAAAAATGAAAGGAATAAAGATAGGAAACAAAGAAATTAAACTGTCATTATTTACAGGTGACATGATATTTTGTATAGAAGATCCAAAGAATTCCACCAAAAGTCTTATAGACTTAACCAAATTCTGTAAAGTAGCTGGATTCAAAGTCAACAAACAAAAATCAATAGCCTTCCTATACACAAACAATAGACTCTCTGAAAGAGAAACCAGAGCAACAACTCCTTTCACAATAACATCCAAAAAAATGAAATACCTAGGAATTAACCTAAGGAAAGAAATCAAGTACCTTTACTCTGAAAACTAGAGCACTCTAAAAAAAAAAGAGAGATCAAAGATGATATCAGAAAATGGAAAGACATCCCAATGGTCATACTTCCAAAACTGCTATATAGGTTCAATGCAATCCCAATTGAAATTCCAACAGCATACTTAAACTCCAGAAAACAATCCCAAAATTCCTTTGAAACTAGAAGATACCTACAATAGCAAAAGCAATTTCAGGCAATAAGACAAGGTAGGGGGAATAACATTCCCAAACTTGAAATAATACTACAAAGCTACTGTGATAAAAACAAAATTATACTGACAATAAAACAGAACTGAGACTCAATGGAACAGATAATATGATGCAGAAACAACTCCAGACATACTCAGCCACCTCATGACAAACACCTTCACTGGAGAAACGATAGTCTCTTTAATAAATGGTGCTGGAAAAATTGGATTTCAACTTGCCACAGATTAAAATTAGACCTTTATCTCTCACTGTGCACTAAAGTAAAATTAAAATAGATCAAAGATCTAAATATTAAAACAGAAACACTAAACTGACTGGAAGAGAGATTAGGCAGAACTCTTGAAGAAACTGGCATAGGAAAAGATTTCATGAACAAACCCTCAGTGACACATGAACTAGGACAAAAGAAAATCACAGACAGGGGGATCTCATCTTATTAAAAATATTCTGCATAGCAAGAGAGACCATCAACAGAGTGAAGAGACAACCCACAATGTGGGAAAAAATTTTATGAACTGGCCTCAAGCAAAGTTCTACTATCTATAACATATAAAGAACTCAAAAAAAATCAAACCTCTCAAATTTAAAGACCCCCCAAAAAATGGGCATATGAAATAAACAGATATTTCTCAGACAAAGAAGTAAAAAGAGCAAATAAATAAATGAAAAAAATGTTCAACATCACTGGTTATTTGAGAGACGCAAATGAAAACAACTCTGAGATTCCACCTCAACCCAGAAAGAATGGCGGCTATCAAGATATCAACCAATAAGAAATGCTGGCAAGGTTGTGGGGGAAAAGGAACACCTCTACACTGTTGGTGGGAGTGTAGACTGTTGCAATCACTTTAGAAATCATTATTTTAAAAAAACCTAGGATTAGAGGTCCTATTTGACCTTGTTGTGTATCTTCACAAAATAATTTAAAAAACTGTAACAGCAATATATGTGCACCTGTGTTCATAGTGGCACAGTGTGTAATAGCTAAAACTTGGAATCAGCCCAATTGCCCATCAACTGGAGACTGTATAAAGAAAATGTGTTATTTTAAAAAATAAAATGGAGTAGTAGTCAGCCATAAAGAATGAAAAACTAGAGACATTTTTAGCTAAATATACATAAATTAAGACCATACTGTTAAGTGAAATAAATAAGACACATGTGTAAATACCAAACAGTTTTTCTGGTGTGAGAAACTGAAAGTGTAAATAAGGATCAAAATGTAGAATAGATAATGTGGAATGAGAAGAAAATGCCCAAAAGGGAAGGGGAAGTGGTGGGCTAGTGGAAGGGAAAGGAATAATATAAGAAAGGGAAACAGTGTTTGTAAATATTGAGAGGTGAAAGAGGTGAGGCCAGTGGAATGTGTAAAACATAAGAACCAATATATGTGTGTAAAGGTACAAATTAGTAAAGATGAATGTCATCATATTGTATATGTAAAATGTTCCAATAAAATTAATTTTAAAAAGTTCTCTGTGAAGTAGGGTTTGCCTTAAACCCACTTTTGGTTCCCTCTCAGGAGCTATCTCTCAAATTTTACCTACTTTTTACCTCTGTTGTTCTTCAGAATTCATTCTTCAATTTTGGGGAATATGAACTTGGCCTACCTGACATCTAGCAGGTCAAGAGTTACATTATTTCCCCTATATCACTCAGACACAACTTAATTCATATGACAAAACTATCCATTCCTTCACATAGACTTAGTAAGAAAGTTTTCAAATGTATTTTCATTAAGTAATGTCTAATAAACAGAAACATTTAATTGCTCTCACTTCACTACTGTTCTAAATGATGTGGGATGTCTGTTGTCTAACTAAATTTCTGGTGAATGGAGTTACCAAGTAGAAGCAGTAAAGGTGTATAAACCTCTCTTCTGTAAGAAATCAGTACTAAGGACACTTTGGTAAAGTGTCAATTCTAAAACTGTGGAAGTTGTGATATAGAGATCAGTGTAGGTGTGGAAAATAGGATGATCTGAGCCTCAATCTGCTACTCATTAAAGCATGACTTGCATTTTTAATTGGGGATTTAAAAGCCATTTTTGTTATGCACTCTAAATTTTTTAACCAGTATCTGTAAAACTTCTGCTTTTAGAACCCTTTCTATTACTAGAATCATCCTTTATACTGGCTAAACAATTTCACTTTTAAAGAAAATATCAAGCCAGTGTTATATTTTTCTTATGTGAATTTTAACTGACTCTGATTTTCAATTGTCTTTAAGATCTTAACAAACTAAAAAAAATTAATTACATTCCCTTTATTATAGGCAGCTAATTTAGGTAGAAATATAGGCAATCAAATAGGGCTGTATCTCAAAAAATATCAGTGCAAGAGATGGAAACACATTACAAGTATGGCTGGAGGTGCATCAGTAAGAAGCTAGGCCTTGAGATAAGGACAAAATGACAAGGCCTACATACTTCCCCAAGTATGTAGTAAGTGGTAGAGTTAAGTATGTAGAGTATGTAGAGTTAAGTGGTAACACATGGCCTAATGAAGTCTAGTAGACATCAATCAACTCAGTAGGTGATCAAGGCTCAGAACAATCACCTTCCTCAAAAGTTCTTTATTCTTTTTATGTACACTTGTTACATGACTTGCTCCCCCATTATATCATTATTACCTAAGTGACTATACTTGTAATCTTTTTGGTTGATCATAGCTTTACCCCATGTATTACCCATGTGGTTGTGCTTTGTAAAACTTCCCTTGTGAAGTGGGATCCCCAGAAATCCATTTGTGACCCTCTTACCCCTCAAGAGCCACATCTCTTAATAAATATAGTATTTTCTACTCTTAACCTCTGTTATTCCTTAAAATTTATTCTTTGATTTAGGTGAACAACTTCTTGATGTATCTGACATCTAGCAGGTTGGGAGTCATAATATTTTCCCTACACCATTTGGAGGTCTGATATTATTCCTATAACACCTTCATGCTCTTTAATCATTTTTATAACTTTTTTGAAACTAAGATT